ACCTGTGTACTCCCTGCTTGGATCACTTTATATGTGTTTTAGTGAAATGATCCACTAATTAGCTTGTAGAGAACCTAATATAACCTGTGTACTCCCTGCTTGGATCACTTTATATGTGTTTTAGTGAAATTATCCACTAATTAGCTAGTGGAGAATCTAATATATCCTGTGTACTCCCTGCTTGGATCACTTTATATGTGTTTTAGTGAAATTATCCACTAATTAGCTAGTGGAGAATCTAATATATCCTGTGTACTCCCTGCTTGGATCACTTTATATGTGTTTTAGTGAAATTATCCACTAATTAGCTAGTGGAGAATCTAATATAACCTGTGTACTCCCTGCTTGGATCACTTTATATGTGTTTTAGTGAAAGTATCCACTAATTAGCTAGTGGAGAATCTAATATATCCTGTGTACTCCCTGCTTAGATCAATTTATATGTTTTTCAACAATGTGGTTGAAGTTTTGTGGGATAATAGATTTATTTCTATACAATGTTTGGTCTCTGACGGTGAGGCATGATCACGTACAACATTTAAGGTAATTAATCGGGGAGAAATTAAACTGTAAAGTTATAATTATTGAGGTAAAAGAAAGGTTGTTACATAGATAAATAAATGGCAGAATTCAATTATAAAGAAGCTTATGACTAATCAACAAAAAACTAAGAATGCACCGGTAGTAAAATTTGGCCGAATACAGGCAGAGTTCTTCCCTCGCCACCGCCCCCCCCAAAAAAAAACATACACAAAAAATTAAAAACAAAACAAAATTGACGTTTATTATATTTAACCAAATAATCACCAACAGAACATTCAAGTTTTGCTTTCAACTTTCAATACCTAGCCCCAAACCCTAACCATTATTGTTCTCAAAAACCCCACCTCCTCCAGAAATCCACTTCTCAACCCATTACCTGTTATTAACTCCTGTTGTTCTCTGAATCCCCGACTTTCAGTGAGCGGTCAGTCTTTGTTGCTTGGAACACGTTATGTTTTAACTAAATCAATTGTAACGACAGCGGAAGTCACGTGACGCTGATAACACGTGATGAGTTTCTAGAAGGATCATGAAGGTTTAGAGAAGGGAAACAGTGAAGCCATTAATGAAGTTACTACCACTGATGTGACTGCTACCGATAATGGGATATTTCCTGATGGAGCAGATGAACCCCACGTGAAGCAGAAGCCAATGAGATGGAGGCCAGTAGCGAAGAAGATACGTCCTGTAAAATTAGGAGACTTTATTGTGCTTTAATTTTGTATTTGTAAATTCTGTACATTTAATCAAGTTATTGTTAAATATCTATTGGTTTAATGAAAGTGGCTATTGTTCTGGACGAACAATACTAAGGAAGGGGCAGTGTTACGACAGCGGAAGTCACGTGACCGTGGAACACGTGATGAGTTTCTAGAAAGATCATGAAGGCCTGAGTGCATTCAAGACGCCCTCTTTTTTATTATATAAGCCTGGCGAGTAAAACGAGCACGATAGGCAGATAAATAGAAGAGACATAGATAGATATAGATAGCGTGTGTTTATAAAATCTTTTTTGATATATAAGCCGGAGATAGATTGAAGATAAAAATAAATTGAATCAAGCGAACAGTAGGCACCGTAAGTAAAGTGTGTGAATTG